AACCTTAAACCGCATAAACACATTTCATTACACCAAATACACAAAATAATGTTCTTTTTAGCAACATCATATGGACCCCTTTAATGACAGCAGCAGTATTTATAGGCCGATGTCCCTTTAAGACCTGATGCATAGATCCGATATAATAATACACATCACATTTGATTTCTTTCTCAGCTGTTTTCACTTGAGACATAACTGACTGCGTTTACCTGAATGATTGTCGAGATGGGTATTTTGTCATAATTTTATGTGTATGTGTCTGTTCAGAGGATTAAGAGGAGGATTCAATTCGGTGTTCGCGCGCCGTCTGAAACGCGTGTGCGCGCTTCATGTGTGTGCGGCTGTGCGCGTAGAGAACAGCGCACGAGTAACGAATCGAGTTCCCTTTCGCCTTTTCTCTCTGGGATTGTTTAAAATTCGCTTGCTTGTGTAAATACGAACAAATAATAAACTTATACTCTATTATAGTTAAATTTTGCAATTAATCCGCAGATCACATGCGTGCCGAACCTTGGGGCTTGGTCCGTACGGATCACGGATCAACTACGATCCGTTTAACCACGACTAATCGCACACAGAAAAATGAATGAGATTAAATGTTAATTAAATATTTTCAAAGTCCATATTAAAAGTAACGAGTGTTAAAAAGAACACAGTATCATATCTCACCCCAAAATAAAAATAAATAAATTACATTTAGCACCATTAAGATTTTTTTTTCATTTTGCATAAAATTAAGGATATTTTCTCCCCAATCCCCTATCCTCATAATGAGAAACCAAAATGTGAACCATGTGGAATATGAACAAAAATATAATTTTACTAATAATCTGTCATTTTTAACGTACAGTATTTTTCACACTGTGGCAGTATTTGTTTATTTAAAAAAAAAACAATAATACATATTATTTGCATCTTTAATGCACCCAAAGTATGCTTAGTTTTATTTCTGCAAAAACATTTTTTAATTTAAAATAATTACAAATTTAAAACTTTATTTAAAATAATTACAAATTAAATCTTTTTAATCAAATTTTTAAATTCAATTAAATTTTTGCATGTGATGTGAAATGTGGCCTGGACATGTCTTGGCGTGATTCACCCTCAGGCTCCTGTTGCTTTAAGTGGGCTGTTACTAAGTTGATATCAACAGACCTCCATTCATCCACCACCTCCGCTAAGGATGCAGAAATCTTGACATTAATTCATGACACCTTATACCAGGGATCCTCATATCTGGCCCACGAGATCCACTTTCCTGCAGAGTTTAGCTCTAACCCTAATCAAACACACCTGAGCATGCTAATCAATGTCTTCAGGATCATTAGAAAATCACAGGTAGGTGAGTTTGATCAGGGTTGGAGCTAAACTCTGCAGCGCATTGGCCCTCCAGGGCAAGATTTGAGGAACCCTGCCTTACAGGCTCCAACTGAAGGCATCTCTGGCTAGTGCTGAAGTTCTGTCTCTATTTCTCATTTAGAAGGGGTCTTTAGTGTCAATGAGAAAGAGCAGGGGTGATACGTGCCCTTGAATGTGCTGACTTGTTGCTGGAGGTTCACAGAGAAATCAGTGATACTTGCATTTGCTGATTCACTCCTCACTTGCTCACAAAGCTCAATGAGTCACGGAGAGTCAAATTCATCTCTCAAATGAGCTTCTAAAAGTAAGGGAGCTTCACTGGCACCCAACCGCTCTGAACTTTAGAAGAGTTTTAAAGTCTACATGAAACAACATTTGCAACCTATTTTACTTCCATAATGTGACATTTCTAAAAGTTAAAGTTATATTTTTTAATTTGGAATACTGTGCAATAATAAATTGTTAACAATAATAAGAAAGAAAGAGTGAATTTCAATGTCATGTTGATTATAATTTCCATAATGCAACAGCATATACAATAATGAAAAAATGCTTGTTAAGGCTTATAATCTTATGGGGTGTTTTGATGAGAGTAATGAATGTGAAGGGGCCAGATGCACTTTTGGCAAAGCGAGAAGGGGTGGTATGCAGTTTTAACTGTGAGCACATGTTTGGCAAACTCATGACAATCTCGCTCGCTACTGCTCAACAACATGCATTTACAAGTATGCAGCACACACATTTCTCATTACAGGCAGAGTGAGTGATTTTTCAAAAACACTTTAGAAAACTGATTTGGGCCGAATCGCAAAACAAACTTGTAGCCAATCAGCAATAAGGGGCGTGTCTACTCGTGATGTGGAGGAGAGCGCGTTCAGTGCATGGGACGGACATTAGCCGAGCCAGCGACAGAAAGATAGAGATGGCGGATAAAAAACAAAAGAGGAAAACGTCTGCGGAACGATAAGGCAAGAAGTAGGACCCGTGTAAATATCGGATCAGCTTTCCAGCGCTGGAGAGAACTCAAGGAGCGGAGGCCTGCGATCGGACGCCGAGGTTGCTTTGTTTCTTCTCAATAGGTGAGTAACACCGTGTCTACAACAGCTAAAGTCTGCCTACACTGGACGTGATCAAACGACCGTTGAAAACCATTTGAAATTTGTGTCAGCACGTCATAAATAGAACCCGGCAGCAGTTTTCTGTCGGGGATTTGTTGCGCCGCACCGCTCACGTCCGTAGACACGGTGTAACATTGGTTTTGCTTTGTTTCACAGAACTAATCGTTGCCTGGGTTGCGTACGTATATGTGGGGCGGAGCTATCAGAATAGAGGCAAGACCCTTTTGGGGTAGGGGCGTGTTTGTTTTGGTGATTTCAAATATCAACATTGGCTACCAGAAATCACTTACTCTGCCTTTAATGTACCTTAGCTGCTGTGAGCAATAACTGCAGAAAACCACTGAAGGCCTTCTGTTTAAAATACAACGCAATTACAGAGTAACACCGACAATATATATTTTAGAAAATAAAAAGTGTTGTCATGTCGCATTAGACATAAACAACAGACACACTGGTCCACTAATAAGAACTAAATTTCACATCATATGTCATGTTGGTTGTAATGATCAGTTAATAAATTAAACTCTAATTTAATTAAAAAGTAACTTACAAAACGTAATAAATTTTTTAAATGTATTATTAATAAATTAACACATTTCTTCTTGATTTAATAAGTTAAATACCCTATTTTTATAAAAAATTAAAATGTATTCCAATTAAAAATAATAATAAATCACATAAAATAATCATAATACAATAATAGAATGATTAATATTTAAAGAAATTGTTTTAAATCTGCTCAGTGTTGTTACTGTTAAATACAGCTGAAATTAAACAAAATTATTATATTATTATTATAATATTTGTAAAAGAAAAAAAAATGCCTTGGCAACTAATGGAAATAAAGTAATTAATTAAAATTAATTACTAAAACTGAAATTAAAATACAGCTAAATAGAGAAATACTAATAAAAATAAGCAAAGCACATAACACAATTACTTTGACAAAATTACAAATTAAAACCTAATCTAAAATAAAAAATTAAAACTCAATATATAACAATAAAAGCTCATTCAAATTAATAATAAATACTACAGTAGTATATAAATAATAAAATTACACTGATTATGACTAGCCTCAACTATTTTAATTATTAAAATAATAATAATAATAATTAATTTTGTAAGCATTTAATTAATACTGTATGTCCTTATTTACATATTTGTTCATTATTTATCATTATTATTCTTTACAGTTATATAACACTTTCAAAGATTTTAAGTTCTTCTCTGAACTCACCATCCTCAGGTTCAGAAGGCCTTTCGTAGGACTTGTCGATGGCATAGCGGAAGCTGAGGTTGCAGCCTCGGCCCCTCACCATGTGTGCGCGTGGACGATGGAAGGGCACCTCGTCCTTACTGACCTCCTCCATCGCTGTCTGGAGACTCTCCAGAGAACTGGACTTATGCAGACCTAACCTGGGTCCCAGCGCCGTCCCGTTAGAAGAGAGGGGTTCTGACACGGGGAGACGGAGGGGATGTCAGTGATGGGAGGATGGAGGATGGTAATGAAAGGTGGAGTGGAGGGTGAAAATTCAAAGATGAGGTCAAGATTAGAAATATAACATATAGTGCCCTATCAACAGGGTGGTCGTAAGTTGTGAACTGAAAATGCAACAGTTGTGCGGTGAGCTGAGCTGAAAGTCTAATGGATTTGGACGCATTCAAAGAACAGACGGAGATGAAATATGTAAAGATGGCTGTGGGATGGAGGACTTGAGAAGGGTGGATGATGAAACCTCAAGGTGAGGGTGCAAGAGCATCACAGAATAAATGAGGTGTTGCAAACGCATACCAGACGTGCAGGAATATTAAACAGAAAAGTAGTAGTAGTAGTGCAGGGGAGAGGAGCATTAAATGAAGTACTAAGAGATGAAGACCAACTATGAAGCCGTAAACAATGCAAATGACTGAGAACAATGACACCAGGAGCAGGAGGAGAAGGTGAGGGATTGCAACAAGCACAAATGAGAAAATAAAATGGAGGAATAGCACAAATCCAAGGGCTCCAAACACTGAAAGGGCAAAAGAAAGTTGGGGAAAAGAAGAACAGAGAAATGCTTGGTGCATGAGAGGTAAAAAGAGGCATGTAGGAAAGAGCACATCATGCTTTCAAGGGATACTTCAGCCAAAAACGAAAATTCTATCATCATTTATTCACTCTCAAGTCGTTCCGAACATGAATTACTTTTTCTTGCGTGAAACTCAAATGGAGAAGTTTTAAAATCTCCCCTTTTATGTTCCACAGAAGAAAGAAAGTAATTTGGGTTTGGAACGACATGAGGGTGAGTAAACGATGACAGAGTTTTCATGTTTGGCTCAAGTATCCCTTTAAGAAATATTTTTGTTCGAAAACCAGCAGTGAAAATGTGTATAGAAAATAATAAAACAATAAGCCACTGAAGGACAAATGTAATTTTACTACAGTAAAACAGCATTTGTAAGCACAAAACAAATTTGACTCTGGTAAAGTCACTGTAAAAATTTAACATCTAACTTTTACAAACCATCAGCAACAGCAAAATGATAAAAGATCATTTCTTTTTTATGTACAATAAATAGTGGAAAACAGTGGAAATGACACCAAAACTGTGAGACAGTTGTAATCTTTGAAAAATGTTTATTTCACTTTATATTTATATTATAATAATCATTCTTATTTTATGACAGATTTTCATATTTATTGTCAGTCTGACTCTATAAAAATGAATGATGATGATGATTATATGAAGTTTACAAGTCAGTATTAATGTGACTTTAAAATTACAAAAAAAAAAAGTTTTAATAAAATTTTATTTTAATAAAAATCAATCTCTGGGACAAAAAAGTGCTTGTAGTTTAATAAAACACCTATATATACACTACCTTCTAAAATTCTGGGGTCTTTAAGATATTTTTAATGTTTTTGAAAAAAGTATTTTATGCTCATAAAGGCTGCATTTATTTGATCAAAAATACAGTACAAATTGTAATATTGTTTTCAATTTTAATATATTTAAAAAATTTAATTTATTCCTGTGATGTAAAGCTGAATTTTCAGCATCATTACTTCAGTCTTCAGTGTCACATGATCCTTCAGCAATCATTCTAATATGCTGATTTGCTGCTTATGAAACATTTCATAGTATTATCCATTTTGTAAACAGTTGTGTTGCAGTTTTTCAGGATTCTTTGATGCATTGACAGCTTTTTTTTTTTTTTAAATAGAAATCTTTTGTAATAGTATAAATGTCTTTACATTGTCACTTTTGATCAACTTAATGCGTCCTTGCTGAATATAATATTTATTTATTCATAATTATTTCTTATTTATTTAGTGAATATACAATTTAAACTCCCAACTGGTTGCAGCAAATTCTCATAAATGTAATTACCGACTAAATATGTTAAAATAAACTTCACGACTGGTCCTTGTTCTGGGATTTCATAATGCACAAATTAAGCACTGGATACATCTATTTAATTTCCATGAAACACAGCTGTAATCTGATCTAAGCACTTTTAAAATTGTAGGTTTCATTTCCACAGTGCTACACGAATGCATGCCGACACGCATAAACATACGACACAGATGGTCCTCTCTGGGATGCTTACATAAATCAATCTAAACCAGCAGAACATGGCTGCTCTCAACCTGAATCAACAACAAACCAGACGAGCAAGAAACAGAAACAGACCGAGAGAACGACAGCGAGACGGGAACGTCATCTGAACAACTTCTTAGTAAATAAAATGGTAATTGGCGAAGTCTCTCCGGCAGACAGATACCTGTATGCTGCCATTATCACGAAAAGGGAAAATAATGAGACGAAAAGAAAAACAAACAAATCAGCAGAAGCAGCGCTGCAGGGCCGAACGGTAACTGGGCGACTGCCATGCAGCTCCTGGAAGAGGAGGAAGAGAGATGAATTGGAGGATGTTGAACTGTGAACTAAAGCGCCGCAGAGCCCGAGAGCAACGCAGCCTCTATGAGTGGTCTTCATTTGAATGAGAGGGGCCACAGGAAAATGTAGGTGTGTTGAAGGGAAGCCAGCGAGAGAGAGCGGTGCCTCCAGCATCTTTCATCCATCCTCTTAATGGATTTGTTCTTCTCTCTGTGGACCGAGACTCGCTCTTCATTCTACCAACTACACACACATATTCAAACATACACATGCTGCTTTGTCTGCAAGAAGGAGAGTTATACTTCACTAATTTGAGTGCATCAACAATTAAAGCAGAATTTCAAGTCAAAATGAAATCAAAATTGACACGGTTTACTTTCTTAATTGTTATTGTGCATGATTAAACCGCGCACTGTAGGAAGTGCAATATAATGCATGGTTAAAATCTCAGTTTAAGAATAACTATTTGACCCTTATGCAAAAATCAAATCAGAGGCTGGTGATTTTTGCCATCTTCTAACCTCAGCTGAATACATTAAACTTGGAAAAGAAAGAAAGAAAGAGAGAGAGAGAGAGAGAGAGAGAGAGAGAGAGAGAGAGAGAGAGAGAGAATGAAAGAGAGAGAGCTCTATACGCAATCAAGAAAAAAATCCAAAATATTGAAACACCGCTTCCAATTTGGTGTCAAATCTTTGATAGTGTGGTTCAGGCCATACCGCTGTATGGAAGTGAGGTTTGGGGTCCACTCAGTGATCAGAGCTTCGCTACATTTTAAAGCGCTACAAACCCAAGAACTGAACCCCGAAAAGAGTCCACTCAGTCAGCTAGTTCTGAGACTTACTAACCTGACTAACTCTAACACTAACCAGTCTCAAACCAGCACTGCTTCTCACCCGAACATCAAAATAAATAAAATTATCAAACAATCTAAAAATACATATCTGGAACATTGGGATCAAGAAACTAAAACACAAAGTAAATTACAATTTTATCGAACTCTAAAATCAAATTATGAATTGGAAGATTATCTGCAGAGTGTCAGAGACACAAAGCAGAGACAGATCCTGACCAAGTACAGGCTCAGTGAGTACAGTCTAGCCATTGAGATCGGCAGACACAAAAATAGCTGGTTACCCAGAGAGCAAAGAGTGTGTGCAGGGATGCAACGATTATAGATTTTGTTGGTACGATTATTGTCTGAGGAATAATCACGGTTTTACAATTATGACGATTATTATGCATTTACTCATTTCCCAACATTACTAACGTATAAAATCACATGAACACTCTTTAGATATTAAAGTGTTATTTATTGCTGGCTTTTGAAACAGAAATAACACAGTA